ACTGTTCTTATCTACATCTGTGTTATCATTTGTATGTAGTACGTTCATTTATAAACACCGATATTGCAATTTTTTTATTTTTTATTTCTTATTTTTTTGATCTTAAATTTACTGTTGCCAAAGAACATCTCATAGGTTTGCATTTACAATGCCATACTACTATTTTATTGATATTGTACGGTGAGACAAGTAAGCTTTCTGAACTTCTACATTCCGACACAAATTAGTGCATATTTKTTCTTCAGCATATGCACTCCTATGTGATAAAGAAATCTAACACTTAACAGATTTCTATTAGATACCACAGACATCCCAATTGTTTACAAGAGACGAAGGAGGGACGGAGGGACGAAGTTTTTGTSCACAAAGGCCAAGTGTTTTGCTATACATATACAGGCTGAAAGTAAATCACACGACACCAACRTCATGTCTGTGAGTGGCGCAAGCAGAGCTATGCCCTCCCCATCCACCATGAGAACAGCTTGCAAGTGAGTTTTCCGAGCCTGTACATCTCATGCCGTTCAGCCAGACGGGTCCCTTTCCTGTTCCATAGTATATAAAACCGAGAGTTTTTGTAAATCCGAGTTGTCTACAAACTACCTTGGAATCCTCTAAACCCCAGTAATCATTGCATACTGTTCCCCATTGAATTCTATAATAAAGGTCGCATTATATTGAAAAAAGAATATGAAGAAAAAGGGCGATCAATATGCATCGTTTTTCTCCCTTAACGTCATTTGCATTTCTTTCGTTTTCACTGAATAAAGTGTGGAATTATAATCAATCATTTTTGTTTATAATTGAGTCAAAAGACTTGATCACTTGCATCGCAACATATAATGATATCGAGTTTTTACTTCAAGAAAGTATTAAGTAGTTGACATTTTGCATGACCGTCATTGTTCCAATGACCGCACCAAGCCTCATTGCTCATTGGTTTTGCTTTTTAATATTTGGATCAATTTATTATAATTCAGTATTTTAATTCTTAGATTTTTGATGGTCCAATTCTTTATTGGAATTCTATGAAATATTTGTGAAATGAGTTCTAGCATTTTTC